GCGCAGAAGGAATCGTTGAACCAGACGCGATACGCGTCGCTATCCACCCCCTGTTACGCGACTCTATCGTTACAATGCGAGGGCACATAACAAATTTCACTATATCGCGAGCCGAACCAATCGGCGATGTCTGAACGATTAGTTGGCGCGGCGGTTGCAGGCGGCGTTCCTGCGGCACGGATACTTACGGCGCGAGTTGTATGCGAGCTGATGACGCGCCACGTGGTAACGCGATGGAGTGACGCCGCGGTAACGAGAATGGCGCCGCACTGAGACAGCCACGTGGAATCACACAAATCTCTTACCTGCGCAAGGAGGCGCGAATGATAATGCGGCGATCACTGGGGTCCTCGGTAGTGGGTGGAATCTGGTCCTCCTCTCGTGCGGCAGCTTGTAGTTCCTTCACGTCTTATTCACTCCCGGCAATGCAAATAAAGGACGGAAATATTGGAAGTAGTGGAGGAAACATAAAATGATTCTCTAGAAGTTCTTGGCACGTGCTTACCCGCACTTTATTAGTTAATACAAGGGTATAATAATTACGCAAAATCTAATATAAAAATATAATGATTATTTAAGGGCTAATATAATGATTACGCAAAATCTAGTATAAAAAATACAATGATTATTTAAGAGCTAATAATAGTGATTACGCAAGAGCTGAATGCAAAGAAATAATTACGTGAAATCCGATATAGGAAAATATAATAGTCACGTAAAAGCTAAAGTAAAGATATACGCTTTAGAGTATATAAAATGTTCGCGCGAGAATTACAAAGGTATTTAAGAGACTCGGTGAGAGGATTTTGATGTGGATGCAGAGGGATTGAGTCGGATTACCAGTCTTGAATTTAGAAACGTGAATAGCTCAGCGGGAGCCGTCAACACCTAGGTCCTTTCGCACTTGAGTTCGGGAGCAGAGAGAGCGTGGGATACCAAGGTCCCAAAGGATTAAGCTCCCACGCCCCCACTCTGTTTGCTCTTGCGCAACGGGAAGAGCGGCGCCACCTTAAGGCGAATTCTCTGCGTGATGACCCGAGGTCGCTACATGTGGAAGCGGCTTTACGTCAAGTCTCGGAGTACCAATCAGAAGAAAGAAAAACATATGGCCAGATTTTCAATGAATTTTAATGTTGAGTGGACGTAACAGTAGCGATACTCAATGTAAGAGTTTACTGTACTGCTTGTACCAAGTCTTAAGCATGTGTAAAGCTGGAAACACAATAGACACAGGCAATATGCACAGGCAACAGGGAATAACGAGCCGTCTAATCAGAGCTCTGGGATACAATATCGAATGTTATGTCTCGAGGTTCGACCGTCGGTAATTAATGCCTGGACAAACCTGGGACCTTTGACTATATACCTCTGGACTGCTAACGGCAGCCATTACTGGAATCCAAGATCTCAGAGCCATC